ATCAACTCATTTGTTTCTTCTTGCTCATAATTCACTAAATTCTGTATATTCTGCCTCGGATGCTGCAGATTTTACTCATGTCAAAAAGTGGTTATCAGAGGTTAAAAAAATAGAATATCTGTTGAGTTTTTGAAGCTAATTAATTACATTGTGTGCAAATTAAGTAATGAGAAGTCAGCCATAATCATCATCATCAGTGCAGAATAAATTCTCACTAGACAGTCTTGCATGGGGCTGCTCAACAAATAATTAACCAAGTGGAATACTGGTTTAAATGAAATTTATTTGAAAACTTAACTGTATATAAACCATTGCACACATTCACACTATAGCAACATACAGCTGATTCGAATGTTATCAGTCGATTAAATGGGCATTATCAGTGGTTATCATCTGATAGTTATGACCTTCTGCGCCTACTGGTAAGGCTGTTTTTATCCATCCACATGGTGAATCAGCTATAGATCACATTTACGGTTGTGGCTGGTAGTTAAGAAAAATTATTTATATTATTTATTAAATTTCCCATTAATTGCATTTTATTAACATCTACCCCTACTCCAACCCTAAATCCAACCGTCACAGTAATATACAAACAGATCTGGATCTGGAGTCTTCTTTAGTATAGCTGAAAAACCATGAGAATTAGTTAATTCTTTAATTTTCTTTCGGCTGAGTCCCTTTATTAATCTGGGGTCGCCACAGCGGAATGAACCGCCTACTTATCCAGCAAGTTTTTACGCAGCGGATTTCGTTCCAGCTGCAACCCGTCTCTGGGAAACATCCACACACACACACTCATACACTACGGACAATTTAGCCTACCCAATACACCTGTACCGCACATCTTCAGACTGTGGGGGAAACCGGAGGACCCGGAGGAAACCCACGCGAACACAGGGAGAACATGCAAACTCTACACAAAAACTCCAACTGAGCAGAGGCTCGAACCAGCGACCTTCTTGCTATGAGGCGACAGCACTACCTACTGCGCCACTGCTTCGCCCTATTTTGAACTGCCAACTATTCCAGCATATGTTTTAGCAGCGGATGTCCTTCAAGCTACAACCCAGCACTGGGAAACACCCATACACACTCATTCACTCACACACACTCACACTACGGACAATTTAGTTTATTCAGTTCAGCAATATCGCATGACTTTGGACTGTGAGGGGAAAACAGAGTACCTGGAGGAAACACACGCGAACATGCCAGTAATGCCAACTGGCCCAGTCAAGACTCGAACCAGCGACCTACTAGCTGTAAGATGACAGTGTTAACCACTGAGCCATTATGCCACCTATATAAATACATATTTGAACATTTTCAATTAAAATACCTTTTTATTCAATTAAAACGCGGTCTTTAATAGTTGAAAATGCATTACGGACAGCTTATTAAATCATGTTAGATATATAAAAAATTGATGATACAAAGTTCTATAGGTTTTCACATGTTTACAAAAAAATGCTGCCTATGCTGTTTCTAACCAAAGAGGACAGCAATTCATTATTTCTGGCACATCATAATCAATTCAATTTGTGGGCATTATTTAGACAGCTGTTTGAATGTGACTCTGTATGATAAGACCATATGCATGTGTTTTTTTTTAAACAGTGAATGATTCTGTCATTACGGTCTTTGTTGGGTTGTAAATTATTTCCAGGGGCCCTTTTTTCAGCTCCGCGGTAGTCCATTGTTCAACTTGCTTAAGCAAGAGGGAGATACTCATACATTTTGCATGCTAAGAGACTTGATAGCTGATATATTCTTTGTCTCTCTCTTTTTGTTTTCCCCCATTCTCAGTTTTTATTATCCAGAGCCATTTCATTGTTTAAAAGAATCCTCATTAATACCTCTATTATTCTATTCTTCAGGGACGCTGTGCTTTGTTGATTGCAGACCGTACATAACATTCATGTAGTCAGAGAGTAAGAAACAATTGCTTTTAGACAAGAGATTTCTAACAAAATTGAAATGGTCTATGAATAATTTGAGATATGCAGTCTATCTGTCTATATAATATATATTTAATGTTACCACTCTGCTGCTGGCGCTTGTAAGCATTTTCATAATCTGTGTTTTGTGCTTTTGCTTTTCAGTCGCATGTTAAATTTTGTTAAAATTCATCACACGATGTTATAGGTTTTGATAGGGATGGAAATATATATTCCTTTTTTACTAGAAGGAGCCACTTGTACTTGCTAAATGCTGATTTAACTGATTATTTTATTACATAATTTCCCCTCAAGATTAACATACAATGTAAAGTTTGAGGTTCAGTAGTTTTTGCATATTTTAACATCCAGAGTAAATTGATTCTTATTAGTTATTTTATTAAATAGATAAAATTCGTAGTAAACTTATAGTAAGAAAGGCTACTCTGTCCTTGATGTTGGCCATATTTAAAACCAGCAGGTTTTATGGACAGATAAGGAGAGGTTTTATATGCTAACATGCAGAATGGTTCAGGATTGAGGACTGGCTCTGGCATCAATGAATATAATATTCAGGATCAGTAAGAGAATCACTCCTCATTAGGTGATTTAAAGGGTGAATTCAGGGCTGACAAGAAGGGCTATTAATACATTAGGCTCCCTATGCAATAGAAATGTGAACATTTAAATTTTTTAAATTGGTGCCACATGACAAGGAAAACATTCAAGCCTGGCATTATTCATATCCTTGGCAAAGTCTGACTTAAAGTTACTTTTATTCAACCCACAAGGTTATTTATTTATTTATTGTTTGACCGGAAATGACACAGGCTTCTCCCAAAAGATGATATGATGATGTACATCAGGCATTATTGTTTTTCTGACTTTAAGTCAGAATTTGCAAGGGGTATGAATAATATGACATGACAAAAACTGATGTGATTTGCCTAGTGTGATGGACTGCTGTACAGGTCATGTTGAGAAGGAGTATACTGCCATTTACACTACAAAACTAATTCCTTTTAATATAACACATGTTTGGTCAAAAGTTTATACAGATATTTAGTTTACTACTGTGTTTAGTACTACTGAACTCTCAAAAGGTTAGTTCTTCCGAAATTAAAATTTGCAGTTAATATTTTCCCATGGTCAGGCCATCCAAAATGTACAAAACAGTAGGGGGCTTTTTGCACTTTATTCGAAGGTTAAAATAGAGGGGTTTTTTGCCTCTAAGTGGCCATTTATTTAAATTTTAAGAGTCTTTAAGGAACTGAAGTTTAAAATTTGGTCAATTTTTATTGAGGATAAAAAGTCTTGGATGGACTTTGCTATGTAATGATGGTGTGGATTTTCTGATGGATGTCCACTCCAGGATGAAATAACAAGTATAATGTTTTATGTCTTTATGATTATTAATAAAGTTGAGTGTTTAAGGGCTTAGATTGTATGATGGTCAATAATATGCGTGTCAATATTTTTTCTGTATGCCAAATGATTTGTTTCATGGAGACTTCTGCAGTGGATGTGGACTCTTGAAGAATTGGAAACAACTGTTTTCTGAGTTATTTTCCATTTTATGTGTTAAATTTTTTAAAGTAAATTCCCCTGTGTGTAAGCTGCCAGTTTGGATGTTGGTTGTACTAGATTTTAACTTGTTGTATTTTGTTTGTGTGTGTGTTTTCTATTCGTTTGTGGATCAATATTACAGGTCTGGGGTCAGCTCTGAATATCCTAGTGGCTGTCTAACTTTTGTAAAAGACATAATCATTGCAAGATATTGTTCAGAATTGCACGCATGCACGCACACACACACACACACACACACACACACACACACACGCATGCACAGTGATTTTCTCTGTGTTTCAATCAATCTTGTTAAAACACTTATATGACACAGTTATTGATGTTATGTGAGAGAGTATAATTGTTGTTGTTTTAAGATTGTTAGCAGAGTGGCCTACAAACTCTACGAGAGTGTTGAAGGTGGCTTCTGCTGATGAAACTAAAAACTATCTTTAGTAAACCTTTAAAATTGAATCTTACTCCTGCTCTTCTTCATTTGACAGACTGTTTTTGGGGGGTTTAAACTGTTGATTCTCCTACAGTAAATTAATAGCAAATGTAATACTTTTGGGTAAACTGTCCCTTTTATTGAGTCTTTCAACATTCATTGAAATTTACCAAACTTTACTAAATCTTATGCTAGTTCCTGGGAGGCATTCATTGTGTTGACCTGGTACCTTAAACGCAACCTCACATGAATTCAGAACATTTTGATTTAGTGGCTAACTCGTATTCATTTTTACAAACTCATCCATGCATTGTAGTATGATTTGCTCATCCCCCAATGAGGGGTAGGGTTAAGGATGGGATTTGGGGACACTCCTCCCTTTATAAAAAGTGTATGAATAATGAATAAAATTGTATGACTTCATATGAATTATTCAGTTTTCTGACGATTCATGAAATAGTTACATTTCTTTGTGGGATCGGGCTGGTACCCTTAAACGCTGCAAAATAATAACACTTAGACATTGGGTAGATGCAAATAATTAAGTTTAAAGCATGCAGTTTTAGTCTAATAACACAGTTTTTGTATGCATTAGCCTGTCAGTTAGTACTCTGTACTGTATGCCTTCTACTGTAGCAGACTTGAAGAGTAACTGCTGATCTGTGTGGCCTGTTAAAACAACAAACACAGTTTCTGTGTAATCTGGCCACTTGAAGGCAGATGATTTGTTAATCTTTCAAGCCGCTCAGAGACACTCTAGCCCTCCGCTCGTTCTGTGGCTTCAGCGGTCCGAGGATTAAATCCAACAGCAGCCTATCACATACTTGTTTATATGCTTTGGATGGAGCAAGTTGTTTCAGATTTTCTAAAGTTTGGAATTCTTGTCGAGCGCTGAGCCAGTGTCAGCTAAAATTAAACTTCTTTGCAGATCAAAGTTTGCACTTTTCAGTTGTTGACGTGAAGGCCTGAATACAGATAAGAGAGTGATTCGTTTTTATTCTTCTTGGGATCAAACAGGTCAGGCTGCGTTTGTTTGTGTGCTGCAGGTCCGGGGCAGTATGAACCTGTTTGATGTCCTGTCTCCATGTCAGCACAAGTTTCAGGTCGAGGATCGTCTAAACCCTCCTGTCAGAAGGTGACCAGTCTGACCCAATCCAAACTCTACAGGGTGAGTGAGCAGAATTAATGTCCTTCCACAGTGCTGTTTAAATACACTTTAAATGGTAGCATGTTTTAATCGCTTCAAATGCTGGTGGAATGATTTTATGTTTAATATGGGATAGTTTTGATGGACTGTAATTTTTTTAATTGATTTTTCACATGAGAGGTCATACAAAATCACCCAGATGTTATTTACAACAGAACAAAAAGTACATTCACTTTCTGACCTCATACATTACCACCACCACTGACCACCAGTGGTGCCAAAGGTCCATGCCATCTTACAAATAGCATTGCAATCAGAACCACAGAACTAACAGAAATGGTTTAGAATCAAAAATCAAAACACAATGAAAAATAGGTAGAGTTGCAGTCTGCAATATGGGTCACAATGAATTTAAGATTCAGGTTGTACACTAGATAAAAAGCTTTCATTCATCCAATTAAAAAAAAAGAGTAATGGTTCACATCTAAATTTGATCACTTGACCCAATGAAAAATAAATAATTTGCCTTAAACCATATTTTCTATCTCCTTGAGAACAATTTTGTATAACCTGGTGGCTGGTACAAAGCATATTTGTCTTGTTGAAGAAAGTCAATTATTTAAATTCTCTTTTTGTTTAAAACAACAATTCCCCAAAAATGTTCATTCATTCAATTAAAAAAAATAGGGTAATGTTTTCGCATCTAAATTTGATTACTTGACCTAAAGAAAACTAAATCATTTCAGTGTCTCTGTTGTCAGCAATCTGGCATAATATGCAGGTAGAAGGCAGCACTGTCAGTTAAACTTTTTATTCTGAGCTTAAAACATGAACAGCCTTTAACAGGACCATACCACCGGGGTGCTTCCTTTATACACTACCCTCGTTGATGGTGATGGCCAATATTTTATAAATAGATTAAATATTGGGCTTAAATCACATGCCATCTCAAACATAAATAACACATAAAAATAAAACAAATAATTTTAAACTGAAATGAAAGGTACATTTTTAATTGGATGAAGTACTGCTTGATTTTTTTTTATCTATAAGCCTTTCTGTCAATTTGTCTGGTGGAATGAATTTGATGGGAAAGGATGATAATGAACATAAACTGTTGTCATTCGCTTTGTGCTGATTATTATCAAAACACCATTAAAGGTCATACATGTTTGATTGAAGGAAATGTCATTGAGAGAGACTTTTAATAATTCCGTCTTCATGTCATTTAAATCTGGCTTTGATTTCCCCAGTGTGCATTTGTGTGGGTTTTATGTAGAGAAAGTCATATTTCGTCCACTCGTACACTTGTATGTTAAATGTTCTCATAAATTAAACAAAATTTTTTTGATATTTTGTTACGTAAAGCAGTCACATTTACCATGAAGAAAGCACAGGCAACACATTTTCAGTCAACACTGAAAAGATCATTCACTTCTACCCTTTGCATTAGTGTTTTATTATTTAATATTTTTAAATTATTTAATTTGATTTCAAGCTGAATTTTCAGAATCATTACTGTAGTCTTCATAGTCACATGCTTCTTCAGAAATAATTTTAGTATGCTGATTTACTGCTCAGAAATGTATCTTCACTTTATTCTTTCTTGTAAATACTGGTAAATAATAGCATTTAATATCAGGAACAGATCTACCAAAATTATAAACTTATTTACTATTAAAGTCCCCATGAACCAGAAGCTGTGACTATTATTTTTTCATATATTCCAGAAACAGAATATTAAATGACACAACAGTGGGCATGGATTGTTTTTACTACTGCAAGCTGAATGGATGTAGTAAAGTAGACATTTTAATTCAGAAAAAGCATTGAAAGTGTTTAGGGAGAGTTATTACAACCTAACAGACACCTTACATTTCTGTTTGTTGTCAACTTATATATGTTAGCCACGTCCATTTGCTAAAATATACGTAATCTGACAACTTAACTGCAGACAAACAGGAAGTGCATTTTCAAATTTCAATTAAAGATTGGAAGGGCAAACTATTTTTTGTTCTTAATGACATGCACCGACGAACTACTAATGAGTAGTTTGGATTTCATGGGGACTTTAAATGCATTTTTATCAATTAAGTACAACCCTGCTAAATAAAAAAAGCCACAAAAATGTACCCCAATTAAGTTTTGAGGAAGCTTTTAGCTTATATAGTTTAAAGTTCTGCTTAATTTGATCTTTAGTTAGAAAATGCAATGATTTGTATGCATTTATACCAAAGTGTTCAAATACTTTTTGGTGCCATTGCACATACTATTTTTTGTGTTTGTGCCTGACTGATGTAAAGTATGTAATAACATTAATCTGCAATTGTGTTTAGATTCACAGCAGCAGTTGGTCTCACTGTCAGGAAGGTCTCTCTGCGTGGGTTTGCTGGTTAGCAGCGTGACACTGAAGTCTTTAGAGCTTAATTATGGTCCTGTCACATCGGCAGAATGAAACGATTCGATCTCGCGTTGTAGTCATTGAACGTGAACATCAAAATCGACCCATCATTAATACCATATGAGGTACATGACTTTACATTGAGCGACATATGTGTGGTGGATGACAGGAGGAGATGAGATTTATGACTTTCTAGATGGATATGGATTGCACATAATCAGAAATATAGCCTTTTACAGTAATCATAATACAGTGATGGCATGGGACTTTGATAATAACATGGCATTAAAAGATTTACATTTTAATTTTTTTGTGGTATTTAAATGCTGTTTTAAGGTGCTTAAAGGGATAGTTCATCCCAAAACTGAAAATGTACTCATACTAAACTTCAAATGGTTCCAAACCTTTACAAGTTCCTTTTTTTTCTGAATATACTTTGAAGAATGTTGAACATTCCATAATTGAAAAGGTATCATGGTAGTCAATGGTTACCAGTTTTCAACGTTTTTCTGTTTTCAGCAGAAATATACTAATGAAAGTTTGGAACAAGTGGATGATGTGTAAATAATGCCAGAATTTACATTTTGAGTGAACTATCCCTTAAAAATGACATTTTAAATTTGAATTGCTGTAATATTTTATTTATTTATGCTGTTAGCAAAAGTTTTGTATATGTTTTATTATTGAAGTCTGGGATTTAATGGGGGGCATGAACTGACATTTTTGGTTTACTTTTTACTATTCTCTGATGTTCGCATGTAATGTTACAATGATTTTTACACCAGAAAATACCATACAGTAATTTAATTACTTAATTTATGTACCAGGTACGTTCTGGCCTGTTTTTACCCCTCTCATCAGAACACACAATTTTTTCGAAACTTTATTTAACCAGAAAAAGACTCTCTAAGATATATAATCGCTTTCGCAGGACTGTCCTGGCCAAACTTGAGCAGCAAGACAGACTTTACAGGACAAAGAACACTTAAAACAATTACAAATCATAGATTCACCTTCCATTTTCTGAGTGATTGGCCTAAAATGATCTAAAGACTTCTTTTTTTCCAGTTGGAGCTGCATACATGAATGCTTTCTAACCCAATTCAGCACTAACAAAAGGAACAGAAAGAGTATACAAATTCTGAGAACAGATGAAATAATTATCCAAAGTTTTCTATTGTAAAAGACAGCAGAGGAATGAAGACAACAACCCCAAAATGGCCTTGTAAACAATAAAAATACCAATGCATTTCTCTCCTAGTTGACAGAGAAGGCCAAGCTACTCTGTAATGCAATGTATAATATTGAGTTAAAGGTTTACAGTCTGTTATAAATCTTGAAAAATAATTTTGCATATTGTGCATTGGTTTGAAAGGACCGTTGTTGCTACATCCTTTATAGATGGACATTAAGGCTAAGAATGCATTATATAAATTATATCAATAGTACATATCAAGTTATCTTAAATGACAAACAAAGAAACAGTGATCATGTAATCCAAACAGTTACTGTCTGATCCAATGTTGTCTGGACATAATCATATTTTAGTTTCAATACAAACTCCTATCAAATTCTGCCTTGTTTGTAAACGAAGCCATGGTAAAAAAGAAGTGAACAAAGGAAAACGTTTTAAAGAATGCAGTCTGAAAATTAATTAAAGTTATTGTTTTTAATATTTAGATCAGATATACTTGCTCTGCATAGCATCTTGTCGTCTGCAGAGCATCTATTATTTGGTTTCTCCATAGACTTGTGTTTGCTGCTTTTGTTTTTAATACTACAGCACAATTTGGGGTGGAGCTAAACAGCCAGTGATATTGAAGAAGGTGTTGATATTCTGTGGAGGCGGAGTTTAGCCACACTATAAAATAATAAAGCGAATCATTCCACAACTTGTCACTTTGGCAGATTGGCTTAAGTATAAGCTGTTTTTTAGGACTAATGAGAAAGTTTAGATTTCAGAAACCTACAATACAGGATGTTTTTATATAATATGAATTCCTATATGTCAAAACATCAAGGGAATTTAGATTTTTAAGTTGACGACCCCTTTAAAGTGTGATCTGTGTTGATGTGTGATTCTCTCAAACAGTAAATGAAAGCTTTTATATAGTCACTGAGGCCAAATTGATGCCACATTCAGTCCTGTTATGAGCTCTGTTTAGTGGAGAATTATAGAGTATTAGACAGAAATTGTGTTGATTATTAGTGGTTGATTAGTCAGGATAAAAGCACACCCATTGACATTGCAGAAAGCTTTCTCTTTTTCAGCTTTTAAATGCTTCTGCAGCATGATTAGTGCGTAAAATAACAGGAGGCACTTTCTAAACATGTCTAATCCTCTGCCGCTGACCCTCGGCGAGAATCAGGCAGATTATTTTGCCCATCTTGGTTAGCTCCAAATCAGTTTTTGAGAGGCTGTGTTATGTAAACATTAGATTTGGATGGATTGCTTATTTATGAATTTAAATGACCAGCGTGGTCTGTGTATTCGCAGACAAATCAGGGGTCTGTCAAAATGCATTCCATGTAGTGTCACTCACGCTGACATGACATAGAAGTGATGCAAAATATTCTCTATCCAGGCCAATTCTCCAGAAACTAGTCAGCCTGTGTTTGT